CCCCCAGTTCCCACTTACTTCTCATTCTAGGCATCTATTTTGAAGTTTAGAAAGCACCCCTATAAAAAAAAGATTAAAAAAAATGTTAAATTATCGGTAATCAGATCAACAAGTCACATGATCTGTATAACCGATATTCCTATACTGAAGAATTCGTTATACAATACCGAATAATTCGTTATAGTGTTAACGAAGTTGCTTATAACGAAGCCCTGATAAGCTGGAACCTAGGGTTCGTTATATCGAGAGGGGACTGTAGATAATTTACAAGAAAAACGAAAACAACTTTTTCAAACTCGTGAAAGTCGTACTATCAAGGTATTTAATATACCGTTATATATGGAAAATTATAATTTGAAGGCTGTTTTTAGTCGATATGGAGAGTTAGAAGAAGATGGCATTACCACACGACTTAAAGGTATATACAGACAAGCTTTTATAACCTACAAAGATGAACTTAGTTTACAACCTTTTTACGCTCAATGGAGTGTATGGGCGTTTAAAGAATGTCTCTCGGTGATACCTGTTTTGCTATCTGAAGATAAAAAATCTGAAAGGTTCCAATTTGCAGCAAAAATTAATGGTTTACCGTTCAATACTTGTGCACGTGATTTACAACCATTGGTTACAGAAACTAGCGCTACGTCTATTTTTATTCCACGCAACCCCGTGACATATAAACCTATGAAATATGCTTTTGTATATTTTAAAAATGATGAAGATTTTAGTATTGCAACCAATAATGTATATGAATATGAAGGTCAACAACTAGAATGGTCCCCGTTAGATACCAAATCTTGTCATAGATGTGGATATACGGGACATGTAGCGAAGGAATGTCAAACAGAATTACGACAACGTTCAAATAAATTAAATCGTAACCAACTGCTCCAACAGTTTAAAAATCATAATAAATCTAGATTCAATTCATACGCCGATGCTACTAAGGAAAATAGATATCCTAATAGTCGACAACGACATTGGAATCAAAATAATATTATCAATCGACAACGTAATAACAATACTTACACCTTTAGTGAAGAAGAAATGCAAGCTTGGGGTAACGAAAAAGATATAAGTGACAACAACTACAACCCAATTCAAGGCGGTACTAGGAAAGGAGGCTCTATGCATGATCTAAATAACAATAAACATACATCTTCACATAATGATTTATCAGATATTAAAAAACAACTCACTACTTTAAATGCAATGATTACCGAATTTAGAAAAGAAAATGATATAGTTAGAAAAGAAATCAATTCAATTAAAGAAACCTTTAAAAATAATAATAATCGTAAAGGTCCCCAACATAAGCCTAACAAATTACCAATAGTTAACGATAATAACAAGCGTGCCAAACCTGACTCATCTTCAAGTGAAAATGATGACAACAACTTAGTTCTTAACTTAGAATCACGAGTAGAAAAACAAGATAGTTTGCTAAATAATATGTACAATATGATCACGAAACTCACTGGACAACTTTCCAATAAAGAACAAAATGATTCTACTACAAACAAAATTGCAAGTATTGGGGGTACTAGCAATTCAACCAACCAGTTTGAATCCACTTTTTAAATCCTAATGATTGTACAACCTAATAATAACAATTTAATTAATAATTATTCTAACAATCCACCCCCACATTTAATTAATTATAAAAGAAAAAAGAAAAAGAAGAAAAAAACAAACTTAATGAACATTTCAAAAGATGATACAATTCCAAATCAAATTAACAATAACATAAATATGGTTAATAATGAGCATGTTAATCAGAAATATTTTACAAAAATAGTGGTGCTCAATGTATGTACTTTAACAGAATATAAATTGAACAATATTTTTGACTATATAAGAAAAAATGGTATCGATATTATGGGTATTACGGAAACACAAAAAGCCGACAAAGAAATTAACTTTTTCAACGCAGATAAAGCTGGATATAAAATTATTTCACATAATGATAATAAAAATGCTATTGGAAAAGGAGTTATGCATTTAATACGCAATAATTTAGAAAAACATATATTCAATATAGAAAAAATTAATGGACGAATATTAATAGTTGACTTTTCTTTTAAGAATAACAAAAAATTACGTTTAATATTATTTTATAATTTAGCTAATCATCGTACTGGTGTAAATATGAACAACAAAATTGATATGAATACACATGTAATTAAACGGATTAAAAATGCTAAGTCTCAAAAAATGGAAATTATTTGTTGTGGTGATTTTAATTTACAATATCGTAGGTTTAAAAAACGACAAGATAATAAACAATCTATACCAAAAATGTTGAAAATTTTTCAAAAATTAGAGGATCTTAATTTATGGGATGTTCATAAAGAATCTTATGATATGGATAATACAAAAGAAATAATGACTTTTTTTGGTCGTTTCAACTCAAGAATTGATTATATATGGATATCAGAAAATCTTTTCACGAAAACATTGAAAGCAAAAATTATTAATATAAGAGATATAATTAAAATGGATCACGCTTTATTAACTTTTGATTTTATTAATGAAGATTTGATTTATCTGATTTTACAGGCAAAAAAAATGAATACGACTAATACGAATTTAATTAGACATATTTTTGATTTTGATAATACTGAAGAAAAAGATCTTTTAAGTTTCCAAGATGATTTAAAAAAGGTTGCTACTTCTTTTAATTTAAATGGTTCAATAGAAGAAAAGTGGTCATTTTTTAAAAATAATTTATTGAAAATTAAACAACAATATATTCGATCTAAAGAAATTTTCGTTAATATCGACCGTGACAAAACATTTCAACATACACAACTATATAAAGATTTATGATACATTGTATATTTAAGAAGAAAATTTAAAAAGAAATTGAGTTTTGAAAGACTCGCTCTAAATTGGAAATACTACAATAATTATTTAAAACATCTTATTAAAAGACATTCAATAGATGAAGTGAATTCAACGTATCTCTTATTACAACATAGATTAAGTCGATTTTTGATTGGTCAATATGTTAAGGAATTAAATGAGATATATGACATTTTATTTTCAAAATTTTCACTGGAAATGTTTAATCTAAAAAATGAAAAAATTAAAGATGCCATAGATAAACATTGTAGTATACAGAACTAGATAGAGAATTAATTAATAATTAGGCGTAGGTATCTTAGTATTTTAGACGTATAGAAAATAACATGAAAAGTTAATAGGCGCAGTAAGTCACATGTTGAGTGACCTAGATGATTAACATTGATGAGAGATACTAATGATCAACAATTTGTATTTATTTGTCTACAATGGAGTTATTGTAATGATCCAACTCCTGGACATGAGGATAAACTGTAACCAATTAGAATAGATAAGTCATATGAGTTCAAGGGTAATTGAAAATCTTATTTAACAGACATTTATTTGATCTGAATAAACTAACAAATTTTGAACAGATAATTTTGAAGAAAAGTGAATTGATAAGATTTTTACCCTTATTATTGTATTTTGAATTTGATGAATTTATTATTATTAACAAATTATGAATTACTTTTACTTTGTTTCTTTTATTGAAAGTTGTAAAAGGCAAAAATCTTTTAGATTTTATTAGTCCGAAAGAACAACATTTTATTTGACCCTGAAAAATGAATCACTAAACCAAGCTAATGAAATGTTGTAACGTCATGAAGATACTGATCCAATACATGAGTTTTCATGTATAATGAGCGATGCATGTGGCAGGTGCATCCTTCATTTTGGTGCATGCTCCGAGAAATGATTGGTTATCTTCATATAATCAAAGTAGATTCATAGTTAAAGATGATTCATAGTTTATAAGAATATCTGGTAGGTATTAAATTTAGAGGTCTAGATAAGATTCGGTACTAACACAAGAGAATTGGAAAGAACAAGTAAGTTAGGCACAAGTAACCACTTGAGTAAATTGTTACATGAAAGGTCACTCAAACCTAAAGGAGGATTGAATAACCACTCAAGGGACAGAAAGTGTGAGGTATCCTGACAGCATCTTAAAAGCGGTACCTGGGGAATACCTTAGGTGTGGATTTATCTAGGACTTTAATTTTAATGGGAATACGCCAATGCCCTAAGAAAATTGGAAAATTTTTATTGTCCTAAACAGGCATAATCGTGCGCAAGGTTATATACAGGAAGCACTCTGAAGATTGTTTAGAAACCTACTACTAGCAATAAATTTGTGATTCGAAATAAGGAATTTCCTTCCAAACCTGGAAACTAGTATACACGATTTTGTGGTAAAGCTAAGCCTAGTATAGGGGAAAAAGGTAATTCCACCAAACTCGATCTTGTGTAATCCATGGATAGCAGTTGACTCTTAGGAGGATAGATACACCCATAAAAAAAACACATGGATCAAAACGGAGATGGTTAGATACGATGTAATTAGACTATGGAATATAACGGTTGACACTTAAAGTGGTTAGACACGATGTAGTTTAATTATGGAACATAACTGTTGACATCTCTAAGAGGTTGTGGGTCAACCTTGATACCCTCTAGTGGTTGTGAGCAAGCTGTAAGAAACTCTCAATAAAATTTTAAAACCCTTAGTGTGTCGGGCACTATATCCCAAGAAAAGCCAGCTGGGGCAACATGATTTAAATACCAAGAGTGTTACGGGCACTATATCCCAAGAGCTAAAAGGGAGCTATAATTTAATATAGAATAATAGAAGTATAAATTTATAGAATTATTAAAAATATATATAGACTAGCAGGAACGGGGAGAATTGATAAATTTTATAAGATGGATATTTGGGATAGATTACAAAATATTTGGGACAATCATGAAATGCAAAGACACATACAGAAATTGGGTAGGTATCAAAAGATCTATCATGCAGAAAATGTTACGGATATTTGAAAGACAATAGGAAAGAACCGAAAGAATTTTTAGAATTTTGGAGAATATTGAAGGAATTGATACCACAAATAGGAACATATAATTGGAACACTATAATAAATTTTAGCAATTTAATACCGAATGAAGATGAGGCGATAGTAGAAATTAAGAGAAGGAAAAAAGCGATAAACGTAGTAATACATTCGATAAGATATGATGAAAGGCCAGGACATACGTATAAAGGAATAGAGACGATAATAGAAATGATTATAGAAAACTGGGTGAGAATGGATGATAAAGGAGAAGTAATGGTAGGTATAGATGAGATAAAAGAGGAGATACAAACCAACAAGGAAATCATAGAGTTTTGACATCGTATCAGAGAAGGAGAGATAGAAAGACGATTTAATGAATTCTGGGAATGGTACAAGACAAAGACAGGAGTTATAGAGGAATCAGATAGAACAAGAGATTACTTCAAAGGATTGCTATATTTAGAAGAAACGATAGCTAATAAAGAGAATAAATGGAGAATAATGAGATTCCAAAAGAGTATGAGATATATGACCAGAGTGTCATATCCTAAATACAAAGATGGATGGAAAAATAGTAAGTTAACAGAAGAAATAATTGAAGAATTTATAGTAAGTAAACAATTTGAAATGAGATTTAGTGATGTTGGAAGTAGTGAATTTAATTTAGTAAGTTCTGAAGCGAGCGAAAATAATAGTGAAAACGATGATGAAGGAATATCAAGTATTGGTATAGCAGAAATCAAAGAAAGATTGGAAAGACGAGGAGCATCAGTAGAAGAATTAAAGATAGAAAGAGTAATAAGATTGGGATATGATTTAGGACAGATCCTTACGATAGAATTTTGGGTAAAGTATAATGAATTGGAAAATCTATCAGATGATAAGTTAAAAGAAGAATTAAACGAATGGGTAGGACAAAAGCCCAAGAAAACACTGAAGCAATAGAGAGATTTAGACAAATAATAGATAATTTGGGTGTAGTAATGTCAAATGATGCTATATGGCATCTATACAATTGGAGATTCGATGAAAAAGATATAGGAAATAGGCGATTTCTACAGGAATATTTAGGACTGATAAAAATGTATCCAATGAATGAGAAAAATAAGGTAATGATAAGAGAATTATTAAAACAATTCAACGAAGAAGCGGGAAAGATGGAGACTGCAGAATGGTTAGAAAAGGCACAAGAAAAAGGAATAGAGATTTTAGAGAGCGAATTATCGGTATTATGGAACATGGGATACACGGAAGAAGAAGTATTCACAGAAGGATTGATTGAGAAATTCCAAGAAATAAAGAACGAATTGAAACCAATTGTATTGAGGGAATTAGACCTATGGTTAGCGAAGAAACGAAAAAAAGAAAAAAGTAGAAAGCGAATCAAGTGAAGAGGAGGATGAAATCGACAAGATAATAGCATCAGTATATGAATTATTATTGGAGACGAAAAATGAATTAACAAAAGCGGATATCAGCAGGATATTAAGACTAGGATTTGATCAATATGAAATAGTCATAGATGGATTCGTGAAGGAGTACAAATCTGTACGAGAAAAGGATGATAAGGAAGTTTACAGGATATTACATTCACATCTAGCAAATAGAGGATTAATTTGGAATAGAGATGAAGAAGATACAGATGAATCAGATCCACAAAGGGAGCCAGGAAAAGAAAATTCAGGGTCAGAAGAAATTTAAAATAAAGACTTTGTAAGGGAATCAGAAACTACTTCGGAAGAAGAAGAAAAATCAAGTGATGAGTCTGAAAAACTTATAAATACACCTGGAAAAAGTCCTTCTGAACTTTCAGATAGCAAGCAAGAAAAAGAAGAAAATAAGAAAGAAACAACAATACCAATAGTACCTATAACACTGATACCAATAACAATGGCAAATATAAATCAGATTCAAAACGTCTTGAGAACGTTTGGAGCAACTATGCTTGGTCATGATATTGGAAATGATTGGACTAATCCAATTGCACCACCAATAATTTTGACTGGATTACAAGGAGAAATACAAACCGTTGAAGGATGTACCTGCCACATGCATACCTCATTGTACATGAAAACTCATGTATTGGGTCAGTATCTTCATTAATGTACTGGTAAAATAATGTTCGTTAGCTTGGTTTAGTGGTTCATTTTTCTAGGGTCACAATAAAAATAAAAATGTTGTTCTTTCGGACTAATAGAATCTAAAAGATTCATGAATTTAACAACTTTCATATGAAATAATAATGATATCAATCCATATTAATAACGAAATAAAATACAATAAATTCAAAATAATAAGGGTAAAAATTCTATCCTTTCACTTTCTTGAGATTATCTGTTCAAAAATTTGTTAGTTTATTCAGATCAAATAGATGTTCTTTAAATATTATATCGATTACCCTTGAATTCACGTGACTTATCTATTCTAATTGGTACAGTTTATACTCATGTCCTGGAGTTAAAATTTCCTTTCCTGAATATCTCATCTAATATTTCCTTCTTGGAATATCTCTTCTATCTTTTCATACTAGATACAGTTTATACTCGTGTCTAGGAGTGTTATTACTATTCCTGAAAATCTAATTCTTGGCGATCTAATTTTATCATCGTAAACAAATATGTGATAACCTGTTTATCGGTATAAACAAATTGCCTATCATTAATGTCAATCATTTAGGTTGATCATTTCATGTGACTTACTGCGCCACTTATTATGCTCTTCTCTATACGTCTAAAATACTAAGATACCTACGCTTCGCTCTTAATTAATTTTCTATCTAGTTCCGCATACTACAAAATTTCCCCACCAATAAATATTGTATCCCCACAATACTCCTAAAATTAATTAACTATCCTAAATCGAATCGAACTCGGGTCTCAATCGAATTTAAATTCCCTCGCTTCTATCTATTACTTCTTTCCCTTTAATCACTATCCTGGGTTCGAACCTCAATCTATCTTGATATTTCTTCAACCATTTACCATTCTGTGGTGTTTTTAGAACTTGTCCATTTAATTCTTTCAATCGATAAGATCCATTTAATAATTTCTCATGGATTACATATGGTCCTTTCCACTTTTCCTGTAATTTTTCTGACCATTGTTTTTCTCTCCATGCTTCATATAATAGCACTTTTTCTCCTATTTCAAATTCTTCTTTTATTTTATACTTTTCGTCATGATATCCTTTCTGTTTTACCTGTGCTTTCGTCAAATTTTCCCTTACTTTGAATCTTATTTTCAGTAGATCTTCAATCAACGTTTTCACTCTTTCCATCATAGTCATTTTATTTTTATCCTTGTCCAATGGTATTCTTGCCTCCCTACCATATGTTACATAAAGCGGTTGCATATTACTTGACTTATGTTTCTTTGTTCTATATGCAAATAACACAGATGGTATATTTCTATCCCAATCTTGTCCTCCTAGTTTTGCTAATGATTCACATAGCGTCCGATTGAATCTTTCTACTAATCCATTCATTTCTGGATGATATGGTGTTGATAATCTATGATTTATCCCACATCTTTCAACTAGTTTTTCCATCATTCTATTATTAAAATGTGTTCCTCTATCACTTATTATTTTCTTAGGACATCCATGTCTGCAAATTATATCCTCCCATAAAAATTCTGTTACTTCGTTAGCTGTTGCTTCTCTTAATGCTCTGGCTTCTACCCATTTCGTGAAGTAATCTATAGCTACTACTATGTATTTGTTACCTTTACCTGTCTCATTCAATAGTCCTACTATATCTATCCCTATCACTTCAAATGGTTCTCCTATCCTTATAGGATGTAGTTCATTTCTTCCAATTGGTCTTCCTCTCATTTGACAATTCTGACAAGTTCTAACGTACTCTTCAATATCTTTTTTCATATTTTCCTAATAATATCTTTCTCTTATCTTTTCATAGGTAGTGTTCATTCCAAAATGTCCTGACAATTCATTGTCATGCATCATATACATTAACCCTTCAAATTCAAATTTTCTAATTACTCTTAGCCTCTTTTCATCTTTTCTTCGATAAACTATCCCTTCTATAATTTCGTATTTCTTTTCATTTGCAATATTTCTAATTATTCTGTCATACTCACTTTCTTCCATAATATTTCTTTATATATTTCAGTTTTACCTATGGTTATTTCTATTTTTATTATCTCTTCCTGTATTTCCTTGATTGATGATACTTTTTTTTTATTCCAATCGTCGGATATTATATTACCCAACTCTCTATTCTTATCTCTTAACGCAATAATTTCTCTTTGAACGTCTTTCAGTGCTTTGACTAGTGCTTTTATTTCCAATTTTTTATCTCCTTATATACTTTTTCCCAACTCCTTTAATCATTTTTGATCTTCACTGCACTGTACTTTTTAGTATTCGTATATAAATTTTGATGCTCTTTAAACATTCTAACCATATCCATATACTCCTCTTTTTTCAATGTGTCATATGATGACTTATGTCCTCCATTTCCTTTTTTCGTCTCTCTTCCTATGTAATTTTCCCAACAGTTGTTGTTCTCCAGAAATATTACTATAGCCTTATCTATCAAATCTTTATACCTGAATATTTCTTTTTCCATTTCGTGATTTCCTTCTGGCGTTATCAATCCCCTATCAAAGCTTTTGGTCCTTTGATAAAAATATTCACAATAAGGTGATTTATCCAATATTACTATATTGGTATCTTCATCAAATTCTAACATTCTTCTGTTTATTTGTTCCACTACTTCCTTTCTGAATTTCCATTCAGTTTCTAATTTTGGAATTTCGAATTCTGGATTATCTCCTCTTCTTCTTTTAAATGTATTGAACCTTACTTTTAATCCTTGTTTTTCCCATTCTTTTATTAGATTAGTTACCACACTAGTTTTACCTACTCCGTCTACTCCATAAATTATTACTATCATTGGTTTCTTACCCTTTTTCATCGTTAATAACCTTGATAACGCATCAGCATTCTTATTTTCTTTTCCAGGTCTATGTATAATTTCAAAGTTGTACTGCTGCAATTCCATTACCCATCTAGCTCTTCTTCCTGTTGGTATTTTAGCACTCATCAATCCTTTCAAGGCTGCATGGTCTGTTATCACTTTAAATCTTCGATTGACTAAATACTTATGGAAATGTTTTACTCCCCATATCACTGCTAAATATTCTAATTCAGTTATCGGATATCTTTTCTCAGCCCCTTGCAGGCTTCTACTTGCGTAAGCTATTACTATTTCTCATCCTTTTTCATCTTTTTGACTTAGTATAGCCCCAATACCATCTCCTGAAGCGTCCGTTATCAATATAAATTCTTTCTCATAATTAGGATATTGTAATATAGGATATTTTGTCAATTTTTCCTTCAATGTGTCAAATGCTTTTTGTTGTTCCTCACCCCATATAAACTCCGTTTCTTTCTTTACTAAACTTGTTAGAGGTTTAGCTATCTTTGAGAAATTTTCCACGAATTTCCTGTAATAGGAACATAATCCTAAAAATGACCTTACTTCTTTCACTGTTTCCGGTTCTTTGATCCCTTGTACCTTTTCAATTTTCTTTTCATCTGGTCTTAGTCTGCCATTTCCAACTATATGTTCTAAAAATTCGATGTCTCTTTCCAAGAACTTACATTTCTTCAATTTTATAATCAAATTATGTTCTTGTAATCTTTTCAATACTTTTTCTAAATGTTCCATGTGATCTTCCAAATTCTCCGAAAATATCATAATATCATCAATGTATACCACCACAAAATCATCTATAAATTCTTCCAATATTTCGTCCATCACCCTTTGGAAGGTTGCTGGTGCATTCGTTAGACCAAATGGCATTACATTGTACTCATATAATCCTTTTGCGCATACAAAAGCTGTTTTAGCTTTATCTCTCTCGTCCATTTCTATCTGATGAAATCCTGCTGCTAAATCAATACTCGAGAACCATTTTGCTTTCCTGTACTTTTCCAGCAATTCATCTATCCTTGGTAGCGGGTAACTATCTTGTATAGTTACTTTATTCAGTTGTCTATAATCAATACAGAACCTATACTTTCCTGTTTTCTTTTTTGCTAATGTCACAGGTGAACTCCATGGGCTATTTGATTTCCTTATCTTTCCTTGTTTTAACAACTTATCCACTTCTTCTCTTATGACTTTTGACTTCTCTTCAGTTTCCTTGTATCTCTTCTGTTTTATCGGTTTCACTCCTTCTTCAATTTCTATCTTATGTTTTACTATTCTCGTTCTACCTTCTTTCTCTTCGTCATACTCTAAAATATCCTGGTATTTTAATAACATTTTTATCATATCATTTTTCTCATCATTATCCACTTCCCCTATATTCAATTTTTCCAAAAATTTGTCCTCTCTAGATTGCATCTTTACTGTCTCTCTCTTTTCAGAGCCAAGACTTCCTATTTAAAAGTCAGATATACCTTATGCTTTGTCCTTTCGTTATCACTCTCATATTCCTCTTCATCACTTGATGACTCAGGATCTTCAAATTCTTCAGGACTTTTCTCATAGCTTATTGGAATTACTATTGTCTCCTCATGTCTCTCAATTCTCATTTCTTTATTCTCAAAGTCTATACTCACATTTAATTTTTTCCAAATATCATTCTCCAATATTAAATCTTCACTCGAATCAATCACTTCTACTTCTTTCTCAATTTCTAATTCGTCTTCATATCTAATAATTATTCTCACTTTTCCTAGCGCTTCTATTTTCTCTCCATTCGCTATAGTGCATCTAAATTTGCTTTTCCCTAATATAGGAATTCCCAGTTTTCTTCGTAGTTTATCCGTTATTACACTTATCGCTGCTCCTGTATCGATGATTACACTAACTATCTGATTCTCTATCTCCAAATCTGCTTTCATCGCTGTAGTTTTTCTATCATTCATTTCAATTTTCTCTACCGAGTGTAGTCAATCCTTCTTATTTATCGCACTTGGTCTATATGTACCTTGTCTCAATCGACTATGATATTTCCTATTTTCATTTACAAGTTGTCCAAATGTTATATTTGCTCTAGCATCTCTTACATCCTTTATTATATCATAAGGTGGTACTTCATCAGCTATTCCTGACCCATATTCCCTTGATTTACGTTCTCTAACTTTTCGATCCATCCATTTTCTATGTTCATCTTTCTTCCTTCCTGGATAATATACTTTATTATATTTCAAATATACTGGCTTACTAAATGTTCCATCTTTATTCTTAGGTCTTCAACCATCGTCAAAATCTTCTGGTCCTATTGGTTCGTCCCAATTCTGGCTTCTTTCTGTTGGCTGATCGTCTTCATCTTCCTCCTCAACATCCATTTCATTTTCCAATGACTTGCGTCTCTGATTCCATTTTTCATCATTTCTTCGTCTCAAATCTTCCCGACTAATCTTTTCTTTTGATATTTTCTCTTTTAATACTTTGTCATCTTTAGTCTTATTTACCTTCCTAGTTTCCATTGGATATACTTCGTACTCATCATCATAGTAATACAGTTCTGATGGTTCATCATAATCCTCATATTCATCGTCATATTCCTCATAATCATAATGCTCATCATACCCATCTATCACATTTACTCTGCAATCATATTTTCGTTTATTTGGACAGTTATTTCTGAAATGTCCTTTTCTTCCGCAATCGTAACATACTGACTCTTGCCTAACCTGATTTCGGCCTTTTAACCTCCTATTCTCTTCCATTAATCTTATCATCTTTGCTTCATCACTCGCTCTCAATCTTGCAAAGTCCCTAGTTAAATCATCAACGTCATACTTATCCTGATTCTTTATTACTTCTTTTAGTTTCACAACTAGTTCTGGTTCTTTCTGCTTGAATTTTCCTTTCAAGGCATCATATCCTTTTTCTGAAGCTCTAGCCAATTCTAGTGCTCTTGCCAGATCTGCAGGACTACCCATAACCACATCTTTAACATGATCAGCATTTAATCCTCTAATAAAAATCCTTTTCTGATTTCCTGCAGCTACTACTGCATCTCCTCCTGCTCTTTTCAACAAATACCTGAACCTGATATAATATTTATCTATTGTCTCTCCGCTCAATTGTTTTATTTCTTCCAACTTTTCTAACATTTGTCTTTAATCCTGTCACTCGCATATTTAGCTATTATTTCATGTCTTAAACCTGTATTATCATTAGCTCTCTATCCGGTTATAGCTGCTCCCTCAGTTCTGAACCAATCTGACGCTCCATATCCCAGTTGAGCTTCAGCTATCCTGAACCTTTGCGCATCATCATCTGGTAACCCATTTGTTTGATATGCCCTTGCAAACTTATCACACCATTCTTCTACGTCCTCGTCTGGGGTTCCATAAAATTTTGGAAATTCCACTAATAATCCTCTAGTCGCATTTACTCTTTGATCCACAGCTTGTATTTCTCCTTGTAATCCAGTCATAGTTATCGGTGGTACATTCAAATTATTCCAATTGTTTCCCACATCATGTCCAAATATAACCGTTCCTAATGCTTGTAAGTCCTGTCTCATCTCAGCTCTAGTTACTCCTATTGTTGCTGGTATTGGTGTTATAGGTATTGGTATTACTGGTGTTTTTTATTGTTGGTTTTTTATTTTCTTCTTTTTCCTGCTCGCTGTCTGAATGTTCAGAAGAAATTTTTCCAGGTGTATTTATAAGTTTTTCAGACTCATCACTTGATTTTTCTTCTTCTGAAGAAGAAGTTTCTGATTTCCTAAAAGAGTTTTCATCTTGAGTTTCTTCTGATCTTGTATTTTCCTTTTCCGACTCTCTTTGTGAACCTGATTCATCCGTATCCTCTTCATTTACATTTCTGCTCATTCCTCTACTTATTAGATGTGAGTATAATACTCTATGGACTTCTTTATCATCCTTTTCTCGTACAGATTTATATTCCCTAATAAGTCCATCAAAAACTATTTCATATTGGTCAAATCCTAATCTCAATAACCTGCTGATGTCTGTTTTTGTTAATTCGTTCTCAGTTCCCAATAATGTTTTACACACCGATATCATTATTTTATCAATCTCATCTTCTTCTTCACTCGATTCATTCTCTAATTCTCTCTTCTTTCGCTTCCTTGCTAGCCATAAGTCTAATTCTTTCATCACTGCCGTTTTCAATCCATCTTTTATTTCTTGGAATTTTCCAATTAGTCCTTTTGTGAATACCTCTTCTTCCGTATACCCCATATTCCACAATGTCAATAATTCACTTTCTAAGACCTTTATCTCATTTTCCTGTGCTCTTTCTAACCATTCCTCAGTTTCTGCTCTTCCTCCTTCTTCATTAAACTGTTTCAGCAGTCTTCCTACTATTACCTGATTCTTTTCGTTTATCATCAGATACATTTTCATTAATCCTATGTATTCCCGTAAGAACTGTCTATTTCCTATATCTTTCTCGTCAAATCTCCAATTATACAAATGCCATAAGATACTATCTGACATTGCCATGCCTAAATTAGCAATTATTTGTCCAAATTTCGCTATCGCCTCATTATTCTCCTGAACTTTCATCCTTACCCATTCATTCAATTCACTTTTTAATTTCTCGTCTGATAGATTCTCTAATTCATTGTACTTTATCCAAAATTCTACCACTAATATTTGATTCAGTTCATATCCTAATCTTATCGCTCTTTCTATCTTTAGTTTTTCTATTAATATCCCTTTCCTTTCCAATCTTTCTTTGATTTCTGCTATACCTATACCTGATGTTTCTTTGTCATCTTCGCTACTATACTCACTCATTTCAGAACTTACCAAATTAAATTCGCTGCTTCCAACATCGCTAAGTCCTATTTCGAACTGTTTACTCGATATAAATTCCTCAATTATTTCTTCCGTTAACTTGTTATTTTTCCATCCATCTTTGTACTTAGGATATGATACTCTAGTCGTATATCTCATACTTTTCTGAAATCGGATTACTCTCCATTTGTTCTCTTCATTAGCTATCATCTCTTCTAGATATAGTAATCCTTTAAAATAATCTTTTGTTCTATCCGACTCTTCTATGACTCCTGTCTTTGTTTTGTACCATTCCCAAAACTCGTTAAATCGTCTTTCTATTTCCTTTTCTCCAATACGATGTCCATATTCTACGACTTCTTTGTTAGTTTGTATCTCCTCTTTTATATCATTTATGCCTACCATCACTTCTCCTTTGTCATCTATTCTCACCCAATTTTCCATAATTATTTCTATTATCGTCTCTATTCCCTTATACGTATATTCCGGTCTTTCGTCATACCTTATCGAATATATTATCACACTTATTGCTTTTCTCCTTTTCTTCACCTCTACTATCGCTTCATCTTCATTTGGTATCAAATCACTGAAATTTATTATAGTATTCCAATTATATGTTCCCATCTGCGGTATCAACTCCTTCAATATTCTCCAAAATTCCAGAAATTCTTTCAGTTCTTTCTTATTGTCTTTCAAATACCCGTAACATTTTCTGCATGATAGATCTCTTTGATACCTACTCAATTTCTGTATGTGTTTTTGCATGTCATGATTGTCCCTAATATTTTGTAAACTATCCCAAATATCCATTTTGTAAAATTTATTAATTCTTCCAGTTCCAGCTGGTCTATATATATCTTTTCGTGCATGAACATTATTTTATATAGCGACAATATGCAAACCGCTCTACGTCCCATTTATAAAGCGAGGACGGTCCCACCCGCTCCCATACTTATATAGCGAGGGCCCGCTTTCCAAATACTTACTTTCAAAATTCTATTGAGAGTTTCTTACGGCTTGCTCACAACTACTAGAGGGTATCAAGGTTGACTCACAACCTCTTAGAGATGTCAACAGTTATGTTTCATAATCAAACTACATCGTATCTAACCACTTTAAGTGTCAACAGTTATATTCCATAGTCTAATTACATCGTGTCTAACCACCTCCGTTGTGATCAGCATTCCCTTTAATGGGTGTATCTAACCTTTCAAGAATCTCCTTGAAAGTCAACAGCTATCCATGGAATGTACTCATCAGTTTTGATGGAATTACCTTTTTCTCCCTATACTAGGCTTAGCTTTACCACAAGATCATGTATACCAGTTTCTAGGTTTAGAAGGAAATTCCTTATTTCGAATTATGAATTTTATTGCTGGTAGTAGGTTTCTGAACAATCTTCAAAGTGCTTCCTGTATAATACAACCTTGCGCACGATTGAACCAGTTTAGGACAATGAAAAATTTTCCAATTTTTTCAGAGCATTGGTGTGTTCCCACTAAAATCAAAGTTCTAGATAAATCCCCACCTAAGGTATTCCCCAGGTACCGCCTTTAAGATGCTGTCAGGATACCTCACGCTTTCTGCCCTTTGAGTGGTTATTCAATCCTCTTTTAGGTTTGAGTTACCTTTCATGTAACAATTCGCTCAAGTGGTTACTTACGTCCAACTTACTCTTCCATTCTACTCTCCTCACGTTGGTACCAGATCTTATCTAGACCTCTAAAATTAATACCTACCAGTTATTTCAAATATGAATCAACTTCTATTATAAATCCACTTTTGATTATATGAAGATAATCAATCTTTTCTCGGAGCATGCACCAAAATGAAGGATGCACCTGCCACATGCATACCTCATTGTACATGAAAACTCATGTATTGGTCAGTATCTTCATTAATGTACTGGTAAAATAATGTTCGTTAGCTTGGTTTAGTGGTTCATTTTTCTAGGGTCACAATAAAAATAAAAATGTTGTTCTTTCGGACTAATAGAATCTAAAAGATTCATGCTTTTTACAACTTTCATATGAAATAATAATGATATCAATCCATATTAATAACGAAATAAAATACAATAAATTCAAAATAATAAGGGTAAAAATTCTATCCTTTCACTTTCTCGAGATTATCTGTTCAAAAATTTGTTAGTTTATTCAGATCAAATAGATGTTCTTTAAATATTATATCGATTATCCTTGAATTCACGTGACTTATCTATTCTAATTGGTACAGTTTATACTCATGTCCTGGAGTTAAAATTTCCTTTCCTGAATATCTCATATAATATTTCCTTCTTGGAATATCTCTTCTATCTTTTCATACTAGATACAGTTTATACTCGTGTCTAGGAGTGTTATTACTATTCCTGAAAATCTAATTCTTGGCGATCTAATTTTATCATCGTAAACAAATATGTGATAACCTGTTTATCGGTATAAACAAATTGCCTATCATTAATGTCAATCATTTAGGTTGATCATTTCATGTGACTTACTGCGCCACTTATTATGCTCTTCTCTATACGTCTAAAATACTAAGATACCTACGCCTCGCTCTTAATTAATTTTCTATCTAGTTCTGCATACTACACCATAGATCAGAGAGTAAATGCGACTAGAGGATTAATAATGGGATTCCCACCGTTTTATGGAACTCCGCATGAAGATGTAGAAGAATGGTGTAATAAGTTCGAAGAGGCATATACTATGAATGGATTACCAAACGATGATGTACAGAGGTTCAGATTAGCTAAAGCTCATTTAGGAGCAGGAGCGTCGGATTGGTTTAGAACGGAAGGAGCAGCCATAACAGGTTGGGCGGCCAATGACAATACAGGTTTGAGACACAAAATAATCGGAAAGTATGCAAGTGATAGAATCAAAGAACGATGGTTGGAAAAGTTAAAGGATATAAAACAATTGAATGGAGAAACTATAGACCAATATTATATTAGATTTAGACATCTGTTAAAAAGATCTGGAGGAAACGCAGCAGTACCTGCAGGGAGTCAGAAGCGAATTTTTATGAGAGGATTAAGTGCGAACTATATTAAAGATGTAACTATGGGAAATCCAGCAGATGTAGCAAGAGCATTGGAACTAGCTAGATCCTTGGAAAAAGGTTATAATGCCTTAAAAGGGAAGTTTAAACAAGAAGAAATGGAACCAGTACAAGTTACGAAACCGCAAGAGGTAATAAAGAATCAGGATAAGTATGACATTGATGATTTAACGAAAAATTTCGCAATATTAAAATTAAATGATGAAGCAAAAATGTTAAGGTTAATGGAAGAGAATAGGAGATTAAGGAATAAAAAAAAAAAAAAAAAACTCTTCCCCCTTTCCGTCAGATTTCATAGAAATCCGCAGTATACACATTTTTTTAAAAATAAAATAATTTTTAACCCTTTACGTTGGTATAAAAGGAGTGAGGACCACTTGGTGGCCTCGACGGAAAGTACTCCTTATATATCCTGTTGCTTTTGGAAGTAGTTTTTTCATTATAGTACACCAAAATTTTTATAGTTATGTCATCTTCAAAGTCTTTAAACATTTTACCTTCCCTTGAGAAAAAATATCCCCTTGACGTTTCTTTTTCCAAATTTCACATGACTCGTCCTAATCGAGCTGGTTACAACAAAATTTATGACATCAGTAGATCAAAAAGTTTCTTTTTTGAGTTAGTCGATCATTTTACAGACACCAATGAAATTCATCTTAAAATACACACAAATGATTATCACATGAAAACAACCCCAATTAGTTATCCTAACACAAGTAAACTCCCTAATGACAAATACCAGATTAGTGTTATGCTCACACATTTTTTTTCTTTACAAAGAGTTTTACCCAGGCGTATTCAACAAAAATTTTTTAATTTTATCCGAGATAAATTATTACAAAGAAAGGCGATTATCATGTCACGTGCTAGTAAAATTGATTCACGTAACACAACCACCAAAAACTTTTTTAATTTCTCTTACAAACGATATCGTTTTCACTTTGGAATATATATTCCTTGTTCTCATGATTACATTACCCCTGGATTTCCTGGATTCACTCCTCCAAAAACCATTTGTAAAGTACCGACACCATTCATAATGTCAGATTTTAGAAGAGCTTGCGTCCTTCACCAACCCTCATTCTTTAAAAATGATGTGTTTATACATATTAAAAATGTTAAAAAAGAACTTAATGTTGATTCAACAAATCCTTCTTTAAAACCAAAGATTTTTCATGCTAATCTTTTATACACTCACTGGAATACACATAGAACTAAAAGAATTTATTCTCGAAGATTGGAAATTTCTTATGAAGAAACGATCCATGCTCGTGATCGCCACTCCATCACACACCTTAATAATAAACATATATATAGGAAAAAACTTTGTAATTTAAGTATCCGACGTAGTCACAACCCTCGCGTGAGCAAGGCTCAAGAGACTCATTTTGATAGGGCTAAACGACGCATTTTCAACAAAAAAGAACATAATCGTATGGACCTTATACAGCATAAATATGCTATGGCACAAAGATATCGATTTCTGTTTTCAGAAACACAATTACAACCAAGGCCTCCATCACGGAAATTATAAATTTTGGACGTTCTTTTTTGGACACCCTGGTAAAAGATTTATGACTACCACGATTAACGATACTCCACCATCATCACCCCTTATTACGTATACAGTAGCACCCTACAATCCAACCCCTAATATGTTTATTCCTCACAAATACAGAAATATAATTCCTAAGGAGCCGCTTTACACAGAGGAGGGTGTATATATAGTTCCAGGTTCTAGAGAGTGGTTTACTTATATGTATAATTTACACAACAATTTGCCCCCACCACTTACAAAAGCACAACGTCGTGCGTTACAACGTGAGAATGAGCGTATTGCTCATTTTAGATTGAATCAAGAAAATGCAATTATGCAAGGGACTTCAGTCTATCGGGTTAAACCACGACAATTTTTGAAGGATAGGTTGAGTACATTTTGTGAGCGTGTTCACGATAAAATGACGAAGTTGACAACCCAATACTTGGAAACTGATAACGAAATTACTAAATCAAAAGTTTATAAGACTATGAGTAATTATTGTACCAACATATTTGAAGATGATAATATTAGATCTAACAAGTACCTGCGCTATGGCAACCAATCACACCTTGACATGTTCGGAGTGCCAGTGGACACTTCCGACGATGCTAAAGAGCTCGAACTCAGACCTAAAAAACGAAGATTTTCTTCGCATACTACTAACCTTTACCTGTCGATTGATAACACAGATAGATTCAAACGTAGACGTCTCTTTCCTGCCGTTATGGACGACTCAACTGGAGTGAAGATTCATTGATATTAAAAATTTATAATTTTTTTTTTTTTGAGTCAAAATTTTTTCTACTTAGCAGTAGTTTATTTCTACATCTTATTTTGTTTTATTATTTACACCCAATTTGCGTAACCAAAAAACAATTTAGAATAGTGTGAACCATTCCAACTCTGACAGTATTTACAGTTGGCGCCTTTTTAGGCGAAAGAAAAATACGGGACTTCTCACCCTTTATAGAAGCTTAATTTTTTACATAGTGGTTCTTTTTTTACACATTTAGAAGCTAATGATACTATTAATTATAATTCTCCTTCGTCTTCAAACATTTGTTTATTTTATAATGTATAGTTTTGCCGCACTTAATTTTTATACATAAGATATTTTATTTACTTGATAATTCACCATAATAATGTAGCCATTAGATAGATGTCCTCACTTCTTTGGTTCTCTAGTTCTCTGTTTCCTTTTACCTGCTCCTTCATCGGTCGTGTTGTTGGAGCAGTCTATTATATATAATGATTAGGTAGGGTCTGCCCCTCGGGATAGATGATGGACTAAATGTTGGGCACATTCCTAAGGATAAATGCTCTCTTAGAATAGTTCTTCCGACTTTACATAAAATAAATAAATAAATAAATAGATTAAGGAATCAAAATAGGTTTAGACAAGAACCGATATGTTATAATTGTGGTAGGAGAGGACATATAACAAGAAATTGTTCACAAGGTCAAAGGTACGAAAGGAGAGTAAATGTGATAGAAGAATATGATGAATATGATGATCAAGGATATGAGGGCTATGATGATAAGTATGAAAGATATGAGGAACCAACAGAATTATACTATAATGACTATGATTACGAATTATATCCAGCAACTAGAGGCACGAAGGAAAGGAGACATTCAAGAAGAACAGATCCAATATCGGGATATAAAGATGACAATGAAGAAGATCCGCAAAGAGAAATGGAAGAGGTTAGAAATAGAATGAACGAAGATATGGTAACACCACCATTAGCATCAACGTATGAAGATAGTCGAAATTTGGGTGAGCCAATAGGACCAAAGGGAATGAAATGGAGCGGAAAAAGACGAATGTACTATGATCCAACTGAAGGATTGAGGAAATGGAGAGAAGCTGGAGGAAAACCAACAAGATCTAGAGAATATGGACCGAGGATGACTGATGAAGTACCACCTTATGATATAGTAAGGGACGTTAAAGATACAAGGGCAAATATAACTTTTGGACAACTCGTGAACGAAAATAGGAAATACTATAGCCAATTAAGACAGGGTACATATAGACCAGGTGCCATAAATAAGAAAGATTGACTACACTCGGTAGAAATTATTAAAATGAACGAAAGAAAAACTACAGCAATGAGAGCAGATATGAAAGTACATCAGGAAATTTGTTTAGGCGTAATTTAGTGTAATATTTCGAAGGTGGTGTAAAATTTCGAAATATTACACTAAAAACGTAATATTACAAAAGTTTACGCTCTTAAATTTGAATAATTATAGTAATTTAAGAATATCTCGCTATCTACTGATCCAATCAAGACGATCTATAGC